ATGCACCACCGCATGACTCCATTGGTGTGAATTGGCCTTAACAGACCCAGTGAATGGGTATGTGTTAACAATAAACATTTAAATAAGAGACTTTCAGCATTCTTTGTTGCTTTATCAATGGCTCTACTACTATAACTTTTTTGAGAAGCTAATCCTTGTTTTGCATTTGTAATAAATAGTAAATTGTATATGAAGGTTTGTATTCCTTTAAATCCTTAAGCAATTTCTATAATTATGTTCAGGAATTAATTTATTTTGGGAAAAAAACAAATTCTTGGTTTCTCTTGCAATGATATGTGCTGTCTATAATATAAATTATTTCTTAAACTTTTATAAGAATTTAAATATTGGATTTATTAATGTACAATTTTTTGTGTTTAATGAAAAGGTTGCAGGTTCTATGAAATTAGAATTGGCACAGTATCGTGAAGTAGCTGCTTTTGCCCAGTTTGGTTCTGATTTGGATGCATCCACCCAACAGCTTCTTAATCGAGGTGTGCGACTTACAGAATTATTAAAACAAGGACAGTATGGTAAGTAAATAGACTGTTATTTTAGTAAAGTTTCACAGCATAGAACATATTTTCATGAATTTAATACCTATAAATTTATTCTACAACATATGCTAGAAATTTACATCTTTTCAGAAATAAAATTTCCATTATTTTGTTTTGATCCTGAGTATATTAACTGAATTTTGATATCTTCTTTTAGTCCCCATGGCCATTGAAGACCAAGTTGCTGTTATTTATACTGGAGTGCGTGGTTATTTGGATAAATTAGATCCTTCACGTATCCAGCAATTTGAAAAGGATTTCTTGCACCATATTAAAAGCAGCCACCAAGACCTGCTTAACACTATCGCTACAGAAGGGAAAATTAGTGATGAAACTGACAGCAGGTTAAAGAAAATAGTTTCAGATTTCATAGCTACCTTCCAAGCTTAAATTGAATTTTTTTGAAGAAAGTTGTATTACTTTAACTTATCATTAAATAGGTGTATTGTTTAATCTTCACTCATAGAAATGGAAGAAAAAAATCAGCAATCATATTTAGAAAACATAATGTGTTATCTTTCAGTATGGTATCTTCTTGTAAAAAAATTAAATATTGATCCTTTTTTGTACAATAAAGAATTTACCATTCTTTTACAATAGTCATTTTTTAAATCTGAAAATAAAATTATAACATACACTGAAAATTGTCTTAATTTATGGATGAGTGTTTGGTTTCCATAAGTAGTAATTAAAAAATTTTCTATATATCTGTCAATGTAAATTTTATTACTTTTCCAAAAGCATTTATTGAAAAATGGGAATTAACATAATTTTAATCTGTTAGAAAAAAATGAAAAAATATGTTTGTTATCATATGGCTAATACGTAAAATGTATTTATTTATACACCAGTTGTATTTCCACATATGAAATGAAAAATATATTTAAGTATGAAACACAATAAGCAGTATAGTTTTTCAAAGCTTTATTCATAATCTGAGAGCCAAAGAAAATTAGTCAAATTCAGGCAATTAATTATTTGAAACCTAAATAACTAATGTGATATTTCTTAAATATTTTTATGGCAGTTTCTTCTTTAACTGTATCCCATAATACTTTAACCTGTTCTCACCATTTTGAAATACTAAGTTTCTTTCTTCTTATTATTAAAGGCAAAACAAAATCTGCACATGATTACATCTAGCTGTTTTTTTTTTTTTTTTTTTTTTTCCCTACCTAGTGAATGCTTTGAGTAAATTGTTAAGATCTGAAAGTTGAAATTTCCTTATTAAACTTTCCAGAATTATAGCTAAAAGTCCACTAGTTTCTTCTATACAGTTTGTTTGGTAACATTAAAATTGAGCCTATAATAATAAAGCTTTTTGAAGGCAGGGTAATGCTGACAGGCTACTTAAATTATGCTCTTTTGATTCATAATTTCATTCCTTTTTCATCTATTCAACTATTGGGGTGAACATGAGTAAAAAATCCTGTTAATATTCTTTCCAGTCTGGAGTTCTTTTAAATATTAAACATAGCAGTTTTGTTCCATTAGAACACTATATTAAAATATTAAAATAAGAGGCATGGCAACAGTACAATATATGTTTTTAAAATGGAAATAAAGAAACAAGTAGAATTTTTGTACAATTTCTTTTTTATATGAAAGCTTGTACCTCAATCTATTTTTTGCATAATATTTGCGAATATTAATGCACTTATCATATTGTACAAATAGTTTTTGCATTCCCTCTTTATAAAAGTGTGGCACTTAATTTGACACCCACTACAATATGGCCATTTTGACCTCTTCATTGTAGTCATCATGAAGACTGCTCAGATGCTCCTTCAAATAGAGAAACAGGTGGTAGTCACTGGGAGCTACATCGGGACTGTACAGAGGGTTATCAGGTTGTTTTCAGTGAAGTGATGCAAGATCTTGGGCTAGATTAGCCATGTGTGTATGGGCATTCTCGGAAGCAAAATGATCTCCCTGTTCTACATGCCATGCCTCTTTTTTTGGATTTCATGGCACAGTTTGTTTAAAGTCTAGCAACTCATCATATAATATGTTATATATAGCCATGATGCAAAAATCCACAAGTAACATCTCTTCCTGCCTCAGAACACAGTATATAGCATTCATGATTATTATGATTATAGCATTCATTTTTTATTCATGATTTTCTGGACTGAAAGTCTTTGCTTGAGATTCAGTCTTTTGGATGATGATAAATGGCACCATTTCTTGGATTACTACGTTGATTTTGGTGTAGCGTAAGCCACCCAGGTTTCATTGCTTGTGACAGTCTGGCTTAAATTATAACCTTTCTCTGTGTATCGTTGAAGGAAAGTTAAAACATTACCTAAATGTTTGGTTTTGTGCACCTGTATTAACATTTTCAGTAACCAACATATGCACAATTTTTGATAATTTAAGCATTTGCTCAGAACGTCACGTAGAACACTGTGAAACTTGAGGAAAGTTATCAGATGTTGATGAAATCATAAAGTGTGTTCTATTTTACTCCTTTGCAACAAATCTTTAGTAATGACAGAAGGTCGCCTACTTCATACATCATGAATGTTTATGCAGCCATAATCTAAAGCTCTAATCCATTTCTGTACCAGTATAGCATTCATGATATTTTTCTCTGTACACTTCACTATCAGACAATGAATTTCAGCCACTTTCATGTCTTTAGCACTAAGAAAATGAATCACCGATCATATTTCACTGTTGGGGGAGTCATTTTAAATACCTCAAAACAAAAATTAATTCAATCAGGAGTATTGCCAGCATGTGCAGAGTTTCAAAACAGTGCTTACTTCAACAGGGTTCGTACGGTCCTTAAGAGTCCTTAAATTTTCTGGAATCGATTTTTGGTCCTTAATTTTGGCCAAAATCGGTAGAAAGTCCTTAAATTTAATCATCTGAAATTTGTCTGTTTTTATGACTGCCATTTTGGAGGAATAATTTTGGCGATTCTCTGACGTATATATTGGTTATAATTTGTTTCATTTCTAATATAAATCATGGGATACTCGAGTTTCTAGAAAGATGAACAAAGATTCAGAATTCATTTTTCTAATAAAGAGCTTTAAAAAATTTTCGCTTTTGGGGTGGAATTCTTTTATTGACGGTTCTAAATCTGGCGACTTGTCAACATTTTGGGATTTTTAGATTCAGTTCTGTAGAAAATTTTAAATTCCGAAATCTGAGAATTTTTCATGATTTTTTTTAAACTTTAACATTGATAATTTTATTTAAATAATGGTAATATTGAAATTATATTTAAAAAATATATTAAAATAAACATTTTATTTTTTTCTGTCATATTATAAAGTTTCATTAAGGCAACTATATCAGTATTTGAATCTGAAAAATAACAAGATATAATGCTATAAAGCATATACGAAACAGCTCTAAGCAAAGCAAATTAGCTATGTAATTAATTAAAAGCTTCTTTCAATTTTTTTCATTGAAAGTGTTTTTGCCATGTAATTGTCTCAGAATATTCCAAATTCTCAGAATTTGCATCAGTTTTCCTTATAAAATTAATTTTACACTTTTTCCCCTGCTTTTTTTTCCAAAATATTTCTGACTTTTTGCTGTTACAGAATTGGTTGGGATAATGTTTCTTTAGTATTTTAGACACTGCAGCTTAGAAAATTTAAAGGACTTGAAGGCAAGATTTATAGACCCGTTATTCTAGAAGATTTGAGAAATATATGACAAAATGAAAAATGTCTCCATGGTATCAATGCATAATGGATGTATTTTCACCGAAAGTTTGCGATGAATTTCTTTTTTGGAGATGTCTGGAAGAACAATTTAATGTTTACACGGATACTAGAATCTTTTTTTAAAGGTTAATCTTCTCTTTATTTTCTCTACTGTTTATAGACTGAGCATGGAAATATCAAAATGTTCGAATCTATCACTTGGGCAGGCATTATAGAAAGGGATTTTTTTATTAATAAAGAAATTCAAAATTGCAATTTAAAAGAATCCATTAATTGTCTTAATGCATCATACAAGAGCTGGCACTAGATTTTCATCTGATGCAATCTCTATGGGTTCTAAATTCGACTGATAGTGCCTTTCTAAATTCTGCTTCCAATGCCTGCTCGAAATTCTAAAAGTTTTGTCATTTCAAGATTCATGCTGAAGAAAGAAACTGAATACATAAAGAAAATGATTCTTCAAAGGTATGTGCAGTTATTAATATGTAAATTACCCAATTGTTTATGATTTCAGACTTTACTATAATTTTCCATTTCTGTTTCCTCATATGATAGAGTTACTGAGCTAAATTAAATTGTATAATCTTTGACCACTATCAATGAGTGATTACGTGTCTAAATAGAAACTTTGTCCTAGAAAGCTTGGTCAGTTTAAATAAGTACTTGTGATATGCTTAGCAAAATTCTCACACGGTAAAATTACGCAAAAAATATTACACTGCTCAAAAAAAAAAAAAAAAAAAGGGGACAGTGCTATATCTCCCGTTCTACTGGGCGATTGACAAAATTCAAACTGCGTTTTCATGTCTTGAAAGCGCGACTTAGGATATATATTAGATTTATATATAGCACTATTCTAACATAGGTATTTTGACACAAAATCGGACTTTTTCTGAAATAACATACCAATTTTTTTCCATATTTCGATTCTACGACTCAAATTATGCCAGAATACCAAGTTTTGTAAAAATCGTACGAGTAGTTTTTAAAATATTAGCTCTCAAAATTTTAGCTCCTCAATGTTAATTGAATTTGGCAAATATTTATTAATATCTCTTTTTTTACTAAACTTTTTTTTTATTTTTTCTCTCACATTTCGAAATTTAGGTTCATTCCAAATAAAATTTACCCATTTTTTGTGTTTTATTTTTTAAATTTCTATTTTTAAATAATTTTTATAAATTTTTCGAAAAAAATTTTGAATTATAACCTATAAAATTTTTACCATCATCATAAAGTAGGTGTATTTTTAAGCATATCTGCAAAAAATTAGACTTTTTTATTCAAAATTTTCTAAGATATACACGAATTTACATATTTTCGCGTTTTGAAATTTGGCATCTTTTTTTTTTGAGCGATAATAACGCCAAATGTGGTCTATGGATTTTTGTTACACTGAATTGCCACAGCTATTTTTAACCTTAAATTTCAAGTAAAATTTTACGGAGAATTAATTATATGACATTTTTTCCCTCAATGATGCGTAATAAATATTTATTAATACTATATGAAAAGCTATTTTTTAAATTATAGATGATATTATTCAAATTTTTAACTATTTTTTTTAAATTTCTCTCTTCTTCCTTTTTTTAAAAAAATAAGAGTAAGTTTTTGTAAGAGTAAATTTTTACCTTCGGCGTTTTATCGTCTGCTACTTTACTTCGTTTAAATTTAAATCGAATTGTCTAAAACTGAGAATTTTCGTTTGATGTTTATTTGAATTTTTGAATTTTATGACATTAACTGCATAATTTATTTCTAAACAAACTGTTGCTTTTGAAGTGGCTGAAAGAGCGGCTGATACTATCATCCATATTTTTAAAGCACAGTATATTTTTATAGAAACATAAGATTTAGAATAATCATTTTTATAAAAGTCAAATTATGATATAAACATACAACCCTCTA